AGGAAACCTGTTAGGTCTTATGTGAGAAGACTATATTCTATATACGAAGAATGAGAAGATACACAGGCTTACAGTGGAATTCAATGTGTACACTATTGTAAGAGAAAGGCCCCATTAAAATGGACAGGAACAGCATTCTGAATAATTTTTTTTTTTTTAAAGATGACCGGTAAGGGGATCTTAACCCTTGACTTGGTGTTGTCAGCACCACGCTCAGCCAGTGAGCGAACCGGCCATCTGTATATGGGATCCGACCCCGGGGCCTTGGTATTATCAGCCCCGCACTCTCCCGAGTGAGCCACGGGCCGGCCCTCTGAATAATTTTCTCCTCTATTTTGTTATGTGGATAGTTTCTGGCTCCTCTGAAGGAATAATAAGAGTGATAAACATATTATTGTTCAGGAAATAAAAATGCGTGTGTGTTTTTAACATAGTTCTAGAGGACAGACTAAGAGCTCTAATGATCTTTTCTTTTATCTAGGAATAGAGTGGTACTAATGTTGAAACTAAGCCAAAGCAAAATCCTGGCAGCTGGATGACTTTGAAGGGCTCTGGATCACAGCATGGGTTCCCAAGGACCCCCTCCTTTGGGAGGCCTGGAGATGAAGAAGGGGATCCAGTTGCTTTTCTTCTCCACCTCCAGTTGTCTGAGGAAGGAATGTGGAAATGGAAAGGGCTTTAGGCAGATTGTGAGGTAGGCAGTTTCTCCTTAGCTCTCCTCCCCTTTGGCAATGCTTCCACACCTTCCTCTTTCTTTCTTTCTGCTCCCACGTGTGCTGTCCAATATGCACCTATCTAAGGGGTGCTTCTCTTTTGGCACTTCTTCTGCTTCTTATAGTCATCTTTGTCTCTTTGAATTTTCACCCTAAACTTGTACAACTGGCCAATACCCTCTGTGGCTTACTGGCTGCTTCAGGGATATTGTTGACAAGCTCATCCTAGTAAATTTACATGTGCTTTAAATCTTTTTCCAAGGTCCAGCTTTCTGGGTTTCAAAAATCTCCATTTTCTTTGGTAAATAACCACCGAAATAAGAGCAAATTTTGATAGCAACCTTCATGGCTCCACCATCTGGACCTGGCGTAGTAAGAAGAAATTTGCTTTGGACTTGCACAGAGCAGGACACCAATCCCAGCTCCTCTATGGGGAAGCTCTATGACCTTTCCAAGCTGTTTTGTTGACTATATAATGAGGATAATAAAACCTATCTTGCAGGATTGCCACTGAGATATTTGTTACAGTGCCACATACTAGCTCCTAGCTCAATCTGTGTTAGTCTCCTTTTCTTTCACAGGGTTATTATGAGCATTAAGTGAGAAAATAAATGTGAAAGGGTTTTGCAATTTATGAAGCTCTCTTTATGTGTTGTTTTTTGCTAATAAAGTAAAAATATTAATAATCTAAAAAAAGCATACATAGGTAACAGTAACAGCTAGATATTTTGGAGAAGCCTTGCCATTTTCATAATCTACAAATTAGAGCAACAGATGTCGTAATCACATTTCCAAAACAAACATCAGGAATCATGATGTGACAAGTCAAAATGCATTTGTTGAGGACAGAACATTTTAAATAAGAATTGTCCCATAAAACTTGAGATGTATAGTGCTGTTTTTTTTTTTAATTTTTAAATTTAAATTTAAATTTTATTTTTTTTAAAAGATGACTGGTAGGGCCGGCCCCGTGGCTCACTCGGGAGAGTGCAGCACTGATAGCACCGAGGTCACGGGTTCGGATCCTGTATAGGGATGGCTGGTTAGCTCACTGGCTGAGCGTGGTGCAGACCACACCTTGCCAAGAGTTGCAATCCCCTTACCGGTCAAAAAAAAAAAAAAAAAAAAAAACCGGTTAAGGGGATCTTAACCCTTGACTTGG